GATAATTATGGATTGTGCTCTGAGACCCTTTCACTACTACTTACAATGTTTTGTACTAACATAGTACTTTCAGGTACATTCAATTGTCGAGGCCAAACGTATGGACACGTACGCCTTCTTACGTCAGATGTGCCGGACTGGCTCAATCCTTGGTGTCGATCAATTTGCTGTTTGTTCTTCTCAATGATGCCTGTGCCTGGTTCGAAATTCGAGATTGGACATCAATCATCCACAGCAGATACGCGGCAGCGAATGGGAGTCTGTAGCAGTTACTCCTAGAACTTGTGTGTGGTTATACATTGTTTGTTACTGGAGCGGGTGCTGCAGAGTACATAACGAGTGTTGAGATTTACTATCTTATTTGGGGTAGTTACTGGAGCGTGCACTGTAGAGTTCATAACAAGTGTCTTATCCGCCGGTGTTGATGGATTTGTAATTCTAAGCCAGCTTCCAGTGCAAGGCCCGGCATAAAAGAGCTCTTTTTTCGTTTTCGGGAATTCGTGTTTCTTTAATAGTGTCTGAGAGACAAAATGGATGTAGATGCCATAGCTCTCCTCTGGCGCATCGTTTGCATCGTTCAAACTTCTTAGCAGTCTATTGAATTGTGGTCTGAGCACGATTGGACTGCTGATACTTTTTTTGTCGTGCTTGTAAGATGTTTTTAGTCTCATGGTTTCGTCACTGGTGCTGTCATCCCATTTTAGTCTCACGACATATTAACGAACATAGTAAACTCCTGTATTGATGCTGCGCGTCATTTCTGTTTGTGCATATGCTCTGGCTATCGACCGAAACTAGCCTGATGGTTACAGGTCCCCAGTGTCTCATCGATATATTTACGAGACGTTTTCATCGAGTTAATCTGCACTATGGTCCCGCAGCAATCTCGCACGAATGTCCTTCAGGTCATCCAAGGGAGTTTAAGATAAAATAGAAAATAAAGCACCGAACAAAAGCCCTTGTAAGGAGTGTTGTGCTATGCAAAAGTTCTGTCAGGGCTGTTCTCAAGTTTGAATTCGAGGGAGGAGACCAGCAGCTGTGGCCGGTACTTGCGAACCAGTGAGCTCTGTAGGGGATAACAAATAGAAAGAGGAAGACGCACCACTATCGCCCTGGTGCGTTCTGCTCAGATCACGCCAGTCGCGAGTCGGAATATATGGGTGGCAGATGGGTCATTCGCTAGGATAGGTTACCAGCTGTTGTAGTAGCTATCCCCGGCGAGACTGAGCACGTTTGATGCCAGAGTAAAGTCGATACGGCCGCATTAGAGGATAGTTTTGAGCGGATGTGGTAGGCAGTGATGAGTAACTCGATCCAAGTGACAGCTACCAGATACCAGTACGCACTTCTCTGGCCAGGCCTGAAAAGTAGAAATTGGCCGCTAGAGGAAAAACCCAAGTATAACATTCAACAGAAATAATTATATAGCTCAACTAGTTTTTTATTCAACAGATTTCTATTTTGGACAGCAATTGCGGTAAATTTAAGATTGTTATAAATGAATAATTAAAGCTGATAGCTACCTGATCTCGGCTTGTATATCCGTGATGTTTCCATCTTCATGTATGTATATCCATACACCAAATTATTGTACCCTATTGAGCTATTTAGTCTACTCTTCTATCCTGTCTGCCGAACAGCTATAGGCTGGGAGGTCATCACCACTATATTCCAACCCTCATAAGATTTCAACCCCGTTTCCACTGTCAATAGTCACCGGAGTAGATGGCTAGGGTTACAACTTTTCCAACGATACTTATTCCGTCGAGTTGGGGAGAAGGAAGATATATGATAATGCTTGAATAGGTAATATATATTGATGAGAGTTGAGGATATACATATGTACCACTACACCTGTCTAACCGCTATACTTGAGTATCTCATTAGTATGTATATATAATATCATATCCTAATATAGAGTACTATATAATACTAGAAAGTGCAATATAACTTCCAAGGTCCCGTGATCATACAATTACCTAATAACATCTATTGTAACATCCTTTAGCGACACCTGATACAGGTGTACTACTCAAGTCGCTTCAACTCACAGTACAAATATCTTAGCTCAAGAGCATATTGTCAAAGCCGGGTCTTCAAGAAAGAGCAATTAATAATCCCAAAATTCCTCCACCACCAACCAATCCTGCCCTAATCCAATTCAACGCAGAAAATTTATCCAAAAGACTCCTCATCTTCTCATCATCAGTCGCCGAACTCTCTTTCTGCGTCTTTTCCTGAGGTCCGCTAAGATCTGTGAATTCGGCCGCTTCTCCATCACCATTAACAGACTCCCTCGCAGATCTTTCTCCCGAACCACTCCCTTCCACCTTAGACTTCTCACTCCTGGCACCCCCCTTCTCCACATTCATCCTCATAAGCGCGAAATTCGTGGGTAACATCACAAAAGAAGTAAATGGCCCGATACTGATATTCAAAACTGCTGCAGCCAAGTATCCATTGATTGTTCTGCTATTGCTAACGACCCTTAACAATTGTAGGGCGCTCTGTCCCGGCGCCAGGGACTCATAGCCTAGGTAAATAAAGCCTGCGGTAGAGAGGGCTGCGGCTTCCGGGAAGAGATGCGAGCCTCGAGAAAAGAGCCAGCGGATTGATGGTAGAGCGCGGGATGCTGGTTGGGATCTTAATTCGGGAACGTTGAACAGGGAGAGAGTTGCTATTCCTCCAGAGGCAAGGAGAGAGCTGGAGATGCTGATAGTTTGAACTATAGTGGTTGCTGAGAACATGATTGGTAATTGTCAGAGTTGTTGATTGTGTATTGGTTGTCTTCACTGGTATCAGTCGGAGGGGTTATATGCTTTGAGTTTCATCAAAAATGATGTCATCGGTGTCTATAAGGTTGAGTGGACTAGAACCCAGAATGACCGAAGACGGACAATGAAAATGTCCGCGACTTTTGTTGCGAAACCTGGTTGAGATGTGGAAAACAAATCGATATTAAGATATGATCAATATCTCGCTCTAGTGCAATATACGATAAGACTCCACGAAATTAGCCACTTCATCTCTAATAATTCTAGTAAACTTGTACTTGTGATGATTCGACCCGAATCACACCCTCCTTTGTTTGTTCATGGGTTTTCGTCAAGGTCCCACGCGTAGCAGTTTTAATAATCTGAGCTTGGCTATTGCTGTATTCTTAAATTTACTTGCAAATCCTTGTATTACTTAACTCCTTTCAATTGTAGGGCATGACGAAGTTAACACTGTCGTCGCTGTCGCCGCCACCCCCCCTCACATCTTCACATCCAAGAGACCTGTCAACAAGAAACGAAAACTCGCGCCAACTACAATTTTAATCTCGCCAATCTTCAGTGATAATGTAAAAGCTGATAGACCCTTTCTTTACGATTTCACAAATATACATCTAGATTCTGAACAAACCGCCAAGTGTGACGCTTTGCCTTAAATGAACTGCGAGAGCAGGGTATAATTTATCCTTAGAATCTACTACTCCAGAATCAAGAGCCTAGCGCTCGTAGAGAGCATATTTATACTAGCTATGTACACGTGATTGGGTCTGACCCGTGACACGAAGCATGCCTCTCGAGCTCTTAAATCAGAGCTTCAAAGGCTTCTCACTAAAGAAGAACAACGTCAAAAGACTCTCCAATCTCTCTTCTCTCTTCTCTCTTTGCGCCAAAGCATTACATACTGACCTTCTCGAGGCCCTGTCTCTCATTGAATCGGAATCTGTTTCTCTCTGCAACGCCCTGAAAGCTACGATAAAGTCTCAGTCTGCGCTTCTAATTAGTGGTGAAATTCTATGGAATACAAGCCCGCCCCTGCCAGACCAGCAAACTGGCTTAAACGCGCAAATATGCCCTCTCACAAACTTGCCGTCATATGCAGCAGCCCTTGCCAAACCCGCTGAACAACCTACATTAACCTCTACTGCCCAAGCCCCTCTGCACAAAAAGGAAAGTCAAGAGAGAATAAAGATACTAAACTTTTCATCAGACTTGGTGGAAACAACAAGTGGAAAGCTCAGAAGGCATATGATATCTTGGTATTCTTAAAGACACAGCTTCCTGCATGGATCACTCAAGCTATCAAAAGAATAGATACAGTCCCTTCAGGTTTCGCACCAGTACCACTTATGCCGGAAAACTCTAAGCTCCTACTAGACCACTCAGCAACCTTTCAAGCACTACTTGACACGGAAGAAGTTGAAGCCGGAGACAAGTGGATTCAGACAATCATTCCTAGAGTCCCTACTACAAGATGAGATTTATTGGAAACAAGGCTGAAAAGATCGTTGTCCAAGAACTCGCTTCTGAGATTGCTATCCACACTGGGCAAGCTCCTATCAAGACTTACTTCAACAAGCACAACGAAGATGGGTGCTATACTGTGACTGTTACAGCCTGGTTCAAGCCAAAAGCAGCAAGAAAGAGAAGCGTTACCGATTGAAGCAGAGGTATTTATCCGAATTCCTCCACCCAAAGAGAAGCCTGTTTTTCAATGCTAGGAAGCTGGATATCGTACAGACGAAAACAATAAACAAAAGGACAAACAAAGTCTCATAGTCACGTGATATATTCGTAACAAAGATTTGACCAGGACCACGGCTTGATTTTCCTACACAAATTTTGGTGAGAAGAAGAAGCACAACGTTTTACTTTTTCAATCGTATGAGTTAGAACCCGAGTATACTGTAATCAGGATTGAGCCCTGGACGGACTACAACTTATTTTCACCACGCAAAAAATCCCCGATTACACCGGAAATCGGTACTTGGGGGCCCCCGGGTACAAGCCCGCTTTTCATTTTGTGTGGATAGAAGTACCTCACCGCCTGATAGTTCAGGTGTGGAATACTGCCGGCCTCCAGTTGGGGAAATGTTTTGTTCGGACTTCGGACTCTGTTATAATAGTAATAGTACTTTGAGCGAGATGTGAGTAGAGTATTAAATAAATTATTTCAGCAGTAAACTTTCTCTGTTCCCAAATAGGATATGTGTTCTATCGACTACATCAATGTCGACAATGCTGCCTCAAAATCTGTCTCTGCCCTTTGACAATATCACAGCAATAGTCGTTGTGGCCGCCGCAATCTCTACTGTAAGTAGGCACAGACCCTTTTTCCCCTTATCCACTGCGGCCAAACACCCTTGATGGTTTTAGTTATCAATGTTCTCACACACAGCTAGATTATACTTTACAATGTGTTTACTAATCCCTTGTCTCGACTACCGGGTCCTTGGTATACGAAATGGACATCGGGTGTCCTAAAGTATAGCATTATCAAAGGAAGGAGAGCTTTGTATGTTCACGACCTCCACTGCAAATATGGTAAGTCTTCATTCAAGCCATTATACGACTTCGGCCATTCGTATACGTTGCTCATTTATGCAGGTTCGATTGTCAGAGTTAGCCCGACTGAAGTCCATGTTTCCGATATTGCAGCCACGAGAAAGATTCATAATGTCAAGAGTTCTTTCAAAAAGTCGCCTTGGTATAGGTCGTTCACACCTCCAAATGTCTTGAATGTATTCAATACTAGCGATATTGAACTTCATCGACATCTCCGACGCCTTCTTTCATTGCCCATGTCGGAATCATCGCTTAAACATGTAGAAGTTTTCATTCGTCGGAATATAGACCTCGCAGTGAAAGGTATTACTGAGGAAATGTCACAACGAGGTGCAGCGGATGTTTTCAAGTGGTGGATGTTCATGGCGACTGATGTGATTGGAGAACTTAGCTTTGGCGAATCCTTCAAGATGCTGGAGTCTGGCAAGGTAAGTGCTGGTCCTTTCTAACACGCATGTTCGTGAATCTAGAGGTATTGGTTTTGAACAAAAGTCGCAGAAAAACCAATATATTCTGGATATCGAAACAAATGGGCTCGCCGGAGGCATTCGAGGCACCTTCCCATTTATAGTGAAGGTATCCAATGTGATTCCAATACCTGTTTTCAAGGCAGCAGCTGCATCTGCAAAGCGGCTACGACAATACGGGGAACAGTCGATTGAGCGATCGAAAAGAGTGGCTGCAGAGACAGAATCTCATCCAATGCTTCTTAAGAAACTTTTTCGCAGCGATGAAAACGGGCTGTCTGATAAGGACGTTGTAGACAACGCAATGTCGTTCATCATCGCCGGCAGCGATACGACAGCCAACACTATGACGTACCTGACGTGGGCTGTTTGTAAACATCCTCAAGTGAGAGATGCATTAGTGGAGGAGCTCCGTTCTCTTCCGCCAGACTTCACTGACCAAGATCTCCGTGGCTTGACGTGCCTGAACAACATTATCAAAGAAACTTTGCGATTATACTGCGCTGCGCCGTCCGCCTTGCCCCGTATAGTGCCAGCAGAGGGCGTTGAGTTTCTTGGTCATAGATTGCCAGGAGGAACTACTGTATCCACCCAGGCCTACACCTTGCATCGCAAACCGGAAATTTTTCCGAATCCAGAATCCTTCGAGCCTCGCAGATGGACGAATCCTTCGAAGGAAATGAAAGATGCTTTTATGGCTTTCGGTGGTGGATCACGAGGTTAGTTTTGACACTATTAATTGTCTTGATACAGAGTCAAAGTGCTAATAGCTAAATATAGTCTGCTTAGGACAGCACCTTGCTGAAATAGAGCTTCGCCTATCCACTGCAATTTTCTTCCGCGCATCTCCTTATGCGAAAGTATCCACGCTTGATGGTATGAATGATGGAGATATGGACCCTCACATATTCTTCCTATTGTCACCCAAAGGTAAGAGATGCTTGATCTCCAGAGATTGAATTTGAAAGCTATCCTATAAATCAGTAATCTTAGCGATTATTCAATTGTTATGACCCAGGTCAAATCGTGACTAGAGGGACCTTAGGTTCAGAAGGAAATCACCCGTTCCAAAGATACCTTCAAAAAAGCCCTTGGTCAGCAACAATATGACGTCCCACCAGTTACCATCGTTCCAGCGCTGGGACTTGATAGGAAGAATGGGATGGTAAACCACGAAGAACTATATATTAGCCCAGCTGTGCCCCAACTTCTACAAGCTTTCCCGATGTTACTCCGAAGTACCCGCATCGATAAGATCATCATCAATTATAGCACACCAACCTGATAGTCACAACTTTGATGCAAGAATACCATTCTTCACGACATCCTCATTGTTTTCTGATTTCTAGTCCTGATGATAAGTTTATAATTTCACGCCAAGGTTATACTGCTCAATTTTAACGTGCGATAATTCTGCATATACATAATAATATGAGCAATGTTTCTTATTCTCATAACCGGTTTTTCATTCTCTAATCCCTTATACAAGATTATGTTGCTATTCTCTCAATCTCAAATTTGTCATCCAGCCATGCAAACATCCTTTGATGTGCGATCCCCATGGCCCCGATTTTTGCTTGCATTCCACCTTGGCCAATACCTTTTGCCATCCACAAATACCTATTTTTGTCTCCAAGGTGCTTCAAATTTTCATATATCAAGTATGTACTATGCTCGGGGCTGAAATATATTGTGTTTGCAGCGCCGGTTACCATGACGGGGCATCTGACATCACCCAGGTATTCTCCTCCACTTGGAAGGCGCAGAGTGTATTTTTGAACTCGCGGAGCACATCGGCTGGGGACTTGACACCATAAACCCACATTGAATGGTAGAATTCCCATGCCAGCTGAAAATTGAGCTTAGCACCAGCATTGATCACACCATTTATAAACCAATCTTTCAACCAACCAGATTCCCATCCTGTTACCAACCACTTCGGTAGTCGCGATTCAGTGAAGAGCCAAACATCATAGAATCCATCTGTGCTGATGCAAGCTTTTACACGTGGGTCGGTTGCCCCTCGTAGCACGAAATAACCTCCCATCGAATTTCCCGTCAGAGCCAACCTATCAAGATCAAGATTCAAGTCAGGGCTCTCTTTGACAAGATCATACACAAAGTCAATAACCTTTGAAGTGACTACTTCCCAATCTGGACGCATTGTTTTTCCATGTTTGCGCAGAACAAGCCCTTGACCTGGTCCCTCAAAGGTCAATACTGCATAGCCTCTAGTCCTAGCACCGGCAGCAACAAACAAATACAGCTCTTCTTGTGAAGAATCGAAACCAGCAGTATGGACTATTATTGGAGTCTTGCCGGTTATTCGGCAATTGTTCGCTGGCAGATACAAGTACGCAGGAAGCTTATAATCCTCGAACGGAATTTCGAGGTGTAAAACTTTGCTGTCGAGGAGACTAATTCCTCGATGAAAATACTCGACAGCTTTTTCGGAAACGGAGAGTAACCTTGGATCCGAAGAGTTGATGTGGAGAAGCGATTCACTTGCTCGCAGGTAGTTCCAGGTCCTAAGCAGGCACCATCTTTCTGCTTCTCTATCATTTACTGCTCGTGCTTCTTCGGCCAAGGCTGCCGACTTTTCTGCTGCAGTCTGCCATGCTGCATACCAACTTTCCGGATCACCATTCTTTATGTCTGCAGCAGCTTCAAAACACTCGCCGATCTCTGCGGCTTCGAACGGCGCGGCATGTAATGCGCGTACGAACTCAAAGTTGAAGAAGTCGGATTGAAATACTTTTGCCATGATGAAATCAAATACTGTATGTCGCTAGTGACTGATAATTTTGTATCTCAAATCCTCAACCATCCAAGAATTCTTGTGCTTTTCTGATAAAGATATCAGATTGCTTCTCTAGTAAGAGTGTGTAAGCTCGGTCCTCGCGAAGACAACATCAGACTCCGATTCGGCACCCACCGACTTCCGAAATGTCGGAGCTGTGGCTTATGCTTATCAAAAATTCGGAGATCTCGACATGCAGGTACGAGGCACCACAATTGACTCGCCTTGCCTTTGCTGCAATGCTTACTACTTTTGCAGGGTGTAGTTGAGGTGGAATTGGATCATTTGGGTTCCTATCAACTGTCCAACAGGTGACCATCACGTGAATGCCGCATTCATCATTTGGGTCAGCTATTTTATTGCTTCTTCGCAGTAGACTCCATTCCTGAACTTGCAAGAGGAACTAGACTGCTAAATTGATTCATGAAAATAACACGGCGCACGCAATGAAAATGCCTCAACATGAACCTATAGCCATTATTGGCACTGCCTGCCGTTTTCCTGGTGGATCTTCGTCACCAGGCAGTCTCTGGGAGCTCTTGAAGAACCCGAGAGACCTCCTGAAAGAAATACCTTCAAGCCGCTTTAACGCGCATGGGTTTTATCACAAAGATGGTGATCATCATGGAGCAACAAACGTTATCCAGTCGTACTTACTCGATGAAGACCATCGGGCCTTTGATGCTTCTTTTTTTAATATCAGCCCCCGCGAGGCAGAAGCGATGGATCCACAACAGCGATATTTATTGGAAGTAGTTTATGAGGCAATTGAGGGTGCAGGATACCCAATTGATAAACTTAGAGGATCAGATACATCTGTATCTGTTGGAGTGATGACTGGCGACTACCATGATCTCCAGCTTCGGGACATTAGCTCAATCCCACAACACTTGGCGACTGGTACCTCGCGCAGCATACTTTCAAATCGTATATCTTACTTCTTCGATTGGAAGGGCCCTTCTCTTACCATTGATACTGCTTGTTCGTCGAGTCTTGTCGCTGTACACCAGGCGATAACTAGCATTCGGCAGGGTTCCCCTATCGCAGTCGCTGCTGGTGCAAATCTGATTCTTGGACCCGAAACTTTTATCTTTGAGTCAAAGCTTCATATGCTATCTCCAACGGGTCGAAGCCGCATGTGGGATGATAGAGCGGATGGATATGCTCGTGGTGAAGGCTTTGCAGCAGTTGTACTAAAGCCGTTAAGCAAAGCCATTCAGGATGGGGATCATATTGAGACGATTATTCGCGCATCTGGTTCGAATCAGGATGGCTACGGTCCGAAGGGACTTACAATGCCAGTTGCAGAGTCACAGCTCAAGTTGATTGAAAGAACGTATGCTGATGCTGGTTTGGATCCCAAGAACCCATGCGATCGCTGCCAGTATTTTGAGGCTCACGGTACCGGAACTCTTGCTGGAGATCCAGTTGAAGCCGAAGCAGTGTCCCGCGCTTTCTTTTCTGCAGGGGAAGTGGTAAGTCGTGATAAGGTTCTTCACTTAGGATCGATAAAGACCGTCATTGGGCACTTGGAGGGTACAGCGGGTCTTGCAGGATTGATTAAATCATCTCTGGCCGTTCAACATGGAATCATTCCTGCCAACTTGTTGTTTAAAAAGCTGAACCCCACCATCAAACCATTCTATACGAACTTGAAGGTTCCTACAGAGGCAACGCCATGGCCCGAACTTCCTAGTGGAGTTCCTCGACGGGTGAGTGTCAACAGCTTTGGCTTTGGAGGAACCAATGCACATGTGATCATTGAGAGTTATACACCTTCTAATGATCCAGCAAAGGCCGTGGGCACAGATGGTACAGCAACAGCACTTTTTCGACGGGCCAAGAACAAGCCTGTTTTACCTCTCATCCTCTCTGCAAATTCTGAATATTCCATGATAGAGATGGTGAGATCATACAGCAAGCATCTCAGCAAATACCCCAGACTGGATCTTGCGAGTCTTAACTGGACATCGATAGTTCATAGATCCATGTTCCAATACAGGCTTTCATTTCCGGCTTCGGAATTGAATGTTCTTCAAGATGCAATGTCTCGAAAAATATCCGAACTCGAAACATCAAGGAAAGAATTTACTAGGATAAATTCAAGACCAAACATGCCGAAGTCACAGCTTTTAGGCATATTCACGGGACAAGGAGCGCAGTGGCCAGGTATGGGTGCATCCCTAATCAAGTCATGCAGAATGTTTGCCCAATCCATTCAAAGCATGGATGAAGCTCTGGCGGACCTACCAGATGGCCCGTCTTGGACACTGATGGAAGAGCTACAAGCACCAAGTGATAAAACCAAAATCCATGAATCCGCCATTTCTCAGCCAGCCTGCACCGCACTTCAGATTGCTCTTGTGGATTTATTGAATTATATTGGAATATCATTTAGTGTGGTAGTTGGTCACTCTTCTGGGGAGATTGCAGCAGCATATACCACAGGATGCATTTCTGCGAAGGATGCTATCCGAATTGCATATTACCGAGGAATTCATACCCAGCTGGCAGGTGGGCTTGATATGGAGACTGGTGGAATGATGGCAGTAGGATATTCCTTCAACCAAGCCACTATCTTCTGTGAGCAAGACCAATGGGAGGGACGGCTTGTAGTCGCTGCCAGTAATGGCCCTCGAGGTACAACATTATCGGGCGACTATGATGCGATCATAGAGGCTAAAGAGGTCTTAGAAGAAGAAGGAACTTTCACAAGAATTTTGAAAGTCGACAAAGCATACCACTCCCATCACATGAATCGATGTGGTGAGCCCTACGTGAAGTCTTTGAACGCTTGTGGAATCAAGTCTTCGTATCCATCCACTGGCGTGTGGGTTTCTAGTGTTCGTGCATCTGGTGATTTTGATGACGAAGCTATCTCGGCCTTGAGCGGTCCATATTGGAAGGAAAATATGGCTAATCCCGTTTTGTTCTCTCAAGCTGTTACTCAAGCTCTTAAAGAATACGGCAGCTTCGATGCTGCCTTGGAGATTGGTCCACACGCGGCGTTAGCTGGCCCAGTGATACAGACAGCTAAAGACCTAGACAAAGACGTTAGTTTTTCTTATCATGGTGTTCTGCATCGCAACCAAGATGATATCACATCAATCTCTGCAGCCCTTGGGTCACTCTTAACGACAATCGACAGACCTCAGATCAACTTAAAACGGTACGCGGAGCTTTTCGCGAACGACGATCTAGCTCCGTTGACTTTTCTTAAAGGATTGCCATCTTATCCTTGGAACCATGAAAAGTTGTTCTGGAAAGAATCCCGCGTATCCGAACGATTTCGTCTCCGCCAGCAACCGATTAACGAGCTATTGGGAGTTAGATCTCCTGATGATAACGACGATGAAATTCGCTGGAGAAATACGCTGCGCTTACAAGAACTTCCTTGGGCATCGGGACATTGCTTCCAGCATCAGGTGCTATTTCCCGCAGCCGGATACGTATCCATGGCTGTGGAGGCGTCAGCAAGTCTTGCAAAAGGGGAGGAAATTCGAACCCTCATACTCTCCAATCTTCAGATTCTCAAGGCTATAACACTAGAGGAGACTGCTGGAGTTGAAATTCTTTTCACACTTAGTAAAGAAGAAATGGATGTCAACGATGACCGAACCATCAAAGGCCACTTCGCTCTCTACGCGCGTACTAAAGAGGGCTCCAAAGAAATGGACAAGCACTTCTCCGGAAACATGACGTTGAAATTAGGAGATCTGATCACTCAGACATTTTCAGTACGATCCAGACCTCAGACAAAACTTAGGAACGTCGACGTCGGAAGGTTTTACGAGTCTCTATCTAGTATCGGACTTGATTATAGCGATGCATTTCGAGGTATTACGGCGATTGACCGGCAAATGAACGTGTCACAGATAGAAGTCTCGAGAATGGACCACCGATCAAGAGATAGCAGATTGCTTGTACATCCTGCATTTTTGGATTCGTGCCTTCAGGGCCTTTTTGCTGCATTCGCTGCGCCAGACGATGGGACCATCTGGACGACGTATCTGCCTACCTCGATCCACAAGGCTGTCTTTAGTCTTGGGACACTCAGGAGCGTCCAAAGTGAAACTGCTCATGTTGATTGCTATGTGACGAATGGTTCTCCGTTGTCAATTGTGGGAGATATCGAGATTTTCAACTCGAGAGACCATATGCAGATCCAGCTGGAAGGCCTCAAATGTGACGCAATAGCGAAAGCAACTATCAACAATGATCGTAAACTCTTTGCAAAAGTCGATTGGGAACTTGACACCTTTGGATCTTTTAACGACGAGGTTCAAGTAGATATCGTAAGATCCAAAGAGGGGCAAATTGCGGAGATCTGTGAGCGGCTATCCTATTTTTACCTGCGCAATCTTCGGGCGCGTATTTCCCCACAGGAACAGAGTACCATGAAATGGCATTTTCAGAGGCTGCTGGCCTTCACAGATCATGTTTTACCCCTTCTTGAAAGCGGCGCGTATCCAACTGTCGATCCACAGTGGATTAAAGATGATGAACACATTCTAGATTCCCTTCCACAAGGATTCTCTGATGATGTTGATGTTCAGATTGTCCAGGCAGTTGGCTCGAATCTTGTTGATATAGTTCGAGGCCAAAAAGAAACACTCGAGGTGATGAGAGAAAACAACATGCTGAATCGTCTCTACATTGAAGGTATAGGAACTCATCAGTGCAACGAGCATGTCTCTGGAATAGTAAGACGGATCTCCCATCGATACCCTCACATGAAAATTCTCGAGATTGGAGCAGGCACAGGTGGAACCACGCGATATGTTGCCAAGGGTTTAGGTCACAACTTCTCCCAATATTACTATACAGACATTTCGACGGGATTTTTTGAACGTGCAAGAGGTATTCTTGATGGTAGTAAGACTGTCTTCATGACTCTCGACATTGAAAAGGACCCGATGAAGCAGGGTTTCGAAGCCAGTTCTTTTGAAATGATTGTAGCTTCAAATGTTCTTCATGCAACGAAATTCCTCAAGGAAACAATGAAAAGAGTCAGGTCATTATTAAAACCAGGAGGTCATCTTCTACTGTTGGAAACAACAGGACAGTGGTTAAGAAGTCAATTTGTGATGTGTGGCTTACCAGGCTGGTGGCTTGGTTTTGACGATGGCCGGAAATACGCTCCTATAATCGCAGAACGCCAATGGCATAGCCTGCTCCAGAATACCGGGTATTCTGGTCTCGACTTAGTGGCGCGTGATTCTTCAAATTCATCATCACATTCAATATCTGTAATGCTCACTCAAGCTGTTGATGAGCGTGTAGAAGCGTTGCGACAGCCACTTGCATTTCCAGACGTGATACCAAAAGTTGACCGTTTCATTATTCTCGGAGGTGACTCACTTCGTACTTCGTGGATTATAAGGGACATACAAAAACTCCTGCGCCCTTGGAATAACGAAATTGAAATACAGTCATCGGTTGAAAATGTCACAACATTCAAGGGTGTGTACCATTTCCTAAATTCCTCTGCTTAGATATGTACTTACATTTATTCTTTAGATTCTGGAACTCTAGCAATTCTATCTTTAATAGATTTTGACGATCCATATTTTCACGACAGAACAGTATCAAAGCTTGAGGCGTTGCAAAACATGCTTGGTGCTGCAAAATATGTTGTCTGGGCTTCTCACGGAAGTCGTACGGAAAAGCCTTTTGCAAACATGATGGTTGGGTTGGCTCGAACTCTTCGACACGAAATCCCTGACCTAATGTTTCAAATACTTGACATTGAAGATACAGACAAAGAGATGACGGTGCCACAGACTGCGAATCATATAGCCACTACAGTTCTGAGACTCATATTATCCAGTTCTTGTAACTTGACAGAAAATACACTTTGGTCGAATGAACCAGAGCTTTTAATAAAAGGAGGAAAGATATGGATCCCAAGGGTTAATGCAGCACCCAAGCTTAACGATCGTTTGAACTCTGCTCGGCGAAAGGTTAAATCTAATGTAGATCTGGAGCGGACTCAAATACAGATCTACCAAAAGGAAGCCACACGCCAATGGTCCATACGTGCCGCCCAAAACGGGATTTCCAAACTTATCATACCCGAAGGTCATATTCTAATTCAGCTAAAATTCTCTTTAATGCATTCAATCCGAGTTTTAGCCGGGTCCTTCTTCTTTGTTTGCTTTGGAGAGGAGGTTGGGACAGGCAGAAGGATGATTGCACTTTCCCAATCGAGAACTTCCGCCATTGTAATTCCGGTTTCTTGGGCCACTATTTGCCAAGTTAACGATGAAGAAGCTCCTAGATACCTGTGGGAGTTTGCATGCTGCCTGATAGGAAGAAGTATTATCGAAGCTAGCCCAGTATCTGCCATATCTTTAGTCCATGAACCAGATCAGTACCTAAGAACAATTCTATCAACCCAGGCAAACCAAGCAGGCATGGATATTCGTTACACGAGAACTCACAGTTCCTTGGAAATAAAGGACGACTCTATTGTGATTCAACCGCTTGATTCCACAAGACGTATTCGAGCTGTTCTCCCACAAAACGTTTCATCGGTTTTTGATATGAGTGACTCCGCCGAGACATATGCTGCTATGGCTAAATGTGCACCTCATATCTTTTGGCATCCAATTTCATGGACTTTTGGCATCAGATCAATACTATGCCCTGATTGTTCTTCTCTTTCTATCGAAAAAATACTTAGTGAGATTTCTGGATTGCTAAACCTGCCTGGCATTGTTTCTGAAGAGAAGTGTACTTTGATAAGCTCAAATGTAAAGACACAAGTAAACCACACTCTCTGTGCAACACTGAACTCTCATACTTTTCCGGATAGTCGAGTCATTCCCGCTGCCGCTTTCGCCAACAATGATCCGCCAAGAGTCGATCCCTTCACTATCATATCGTGGGGGGAGCCATCAACCACTGTTCCTGTTTGTGTGGATCCTGTGGATGCTACCAAATTGTTCTCTCACGAAAAGACTTATCTTTTGGTTGGCCTTACCGGCGAACTTGGGCAGTCATTGGCCCGATATATGGTTATCAATGGGGCGAAGCATATTGTTCTCACCAGTAGAAACCCACAGGTTCATAGCCAATGGCTTGTAGAAATGGAGACTCTAGGAGCCATTATCAAGATCATCCCGCTAGATATATCCAATCGAACTGCTCTCAAAACGGTGGTTAAAAATGTGAGATCAACCATGCCACCGATTGGTGGTGTTGCAAATGCAGCGATGGTCCTTTCAGATCAAACGTTCATAAAAATGAGCCATGACCAGCTAGAGAAGGTTCTACTTCCGAAAGTCAATGGCAGTCGGTATCTCGATGAAATATTCTACTCTGACAAGAGCCTTGATTTTTTCGTTCTGTTCTCTTCCCTTGCGGCCGTGGTGGGAAACCGTGGACAGGCAAACTACAACATAGCAAACATGTTCCAAGCTAGCTTAGCTAGACAAAGAAGAAGGCGTGGTGTCGTTGCATCTGTCATGAATATTGGAATGATTATTGGACTCGGGTACCTCTCGAGGTTTGGAACGAAGTACGAAGAAATTTTCCAGAAGATGAATTTCATGCCTATATCCGAACACGAGCTCCACATTATTTTTGCAGAGGCTATAAATGCAGGCAGATCGAGGTTTGAAGATGATTGTGAGATGATTGTAGGATTACAAGAGGCCACGGGTGCCGAGGATGCTGAAAATCCTCCGGCCTGGTTCAAAGATCCTCGATTCTCGAATCTGATTCATACTCGCTCCGCAGTTACAGATAGCACGGCTTCGAAAAAAAATACTGTTTCTGTGGCAGAGAAATTAGGCCAAGCAACAAACTACTCTGAAGTCCGATCAATACTCGAAGATGCTCTAACTACCAGCTTAGGGCTCATGCTTCATATGTCAAGAGATCAGCTAGATGTCAGTACTCCTCTGACTGGTCTTGGAATTGACTCTCTTATTGCCGTTGATCTCCGAACATGGCTACATACTCAGCTGCAAGTAGATATACCAATCTTCAAGTTGCTGAGCGGCTCCAGTGTGTTGCAATTATGCGCTGATATAGTACCAAAGCTTGGCACGGAACTCTTGCCAAAAATTGATAAGTGTGATTTTCCAAAAGATATGTTAGCTGAATCCCACACGAAAGGCTATTCCACAATGAATAAAGATGATTCAACGGAAAAAATCAAGCCTCTCATTGCGATTCAATCTACAGAGACTCCGCAATCGAATTCCCGAAGTACCGCTTCTGACAACAGAAAACTATTTGCGGAAGCAGAATCTCCAGATTCTTTTCCGAGTTCGACTGCTATCACTGGTAGTACATCTTCCATGAGAGAATCTGTATCAACAGATGATGGCATGAATATTTTGAGAAAAGGAAAAGCTTCTGTAGGCCAGTCATCACTATTATTTGTGCGTGATTATCTGAGAGACAAGTCCGCTTCCAACGTCGGTATACAATTCACGTTGCGGGGTCCGCTTGATATTAAGCGCTTTGAGAATGCCATTGATGAGGTGATTGCAAAGCACGAAATCTTAAGAACGGCCTTTTCTCAAGATGTGGAATCAAAGAATCACATTCAGATGGTTTTGGAGCATTCTTCGTTCAAATTACAGCACAAAACATTGTCTTCAGATCATGATGTAAGGCTGGAACACGAAAAGCTTATGACCGCCGAGCTTGACCTTTCCCATGGCAATACCATAGCTGCAGTTCTCATTAAACGTTCTACCAATATTCATGAGGTCATTTTCTGCTATCATCATGTTGTTCTTGATGGTCTGAGTTGGCGATTGTTTGTTGATGAGCTCCACCGAGCTTACAGCGGTCATGGACTTCTACCCCTCAGCTTCCATCAGATTGATTTTGCCCAAAAGGAAGAGGAAGCAATCAGGAGCGGTCAGCTTATATCGGAGCTGGCGTATTGGAAAAACGAATTTTCGCAACTACCAGAAACATCACCCCTCTTACCTATCTCTAAGGTGCCCTGCCGTCACACTCTGGAAGTATACAACACCAGTACGGTATCTTTGAATTTGGACATCAATGTAGCAGCTCGAATCCGAAAAGCAAGCAAAGCGCTGAATGTAACCCCGTTTCAATTTTATTTATCTACCCTCCAAGTCCTTCTATTCAAATTGGTTGGCACTACCGATCAATGCATTGGGATTGTTGATGCTAATAGATCCGAGCTTGACTTCGTCAGCACGATGGGATATTTTATAAACATGTTGGCTCTAAGATTAAATGTGAATGAATCCCACAGCTTTCATGAAGTTATCACACAAGCACGGAAAAAAGTTCATCTCGCCATGGAGAATTCTAGGCTGCCGTTTGGCGTTCTTCTAGACGAACTGAAAGTTCCACGATCAACAGCCCATTCTCCTTTATTCCAAATATTGATGAATTATCGGCTCGGCGCCCTTGAGCAAGAGATGATTGGAGATTGTGAGCTTACTGGCATGGAAGGGACCATACCCAAAACACCTTACGACATGACGCTTTTAGTAACGGAGTCCTCAAAGGGATATTCTGTTGTACAACTAGATGTCCAGAAGTATCTCTATTCTGACGACGACACCCATCAAGTTTTGTTAACATATGCCCATTTACTGGATACCTTTTCGAGTGACCCTTCGACTAAGATCAAAAACTGCAGTGCTTTCAGCCCAACGATGACCACAGAAAGTCTTAACTTTGCACATGGAAACATTTCGTTAGATCTTGACCGCTCAGAGACATTGCTAAACTATATCTCGCAACACTTTAGTCACAATAACAGCATAGCTATCAACGACGGGTATGGTCAGATTATCAGTTATGGAGATTTAAAGAAGAGAGTGCATACGCTCGTTTCGACTTTGAAAGCAGCAGGTATTGGAAGTTCTGCACACGTGGCTCTCCTATGCGAACCATCTGCGGATTTTGTATGTGCGTTGTTAGCCATATGGTATCGCGGGGCAACGTGTATTCCGCTTGATCTAAGTAATCCAACTGCACGCTTGGACGCCATAATCAAGGAATGTCGCCCACTAGCCACAATATTTCACGAGCAAAGTCACGACATATTTTCCCACTTGAGTTCAAAAAATATTACTGGTATTGGGATTCAAATTCCGCACGATATAGAAACATCAGACCTAGGCCAAGAAGCTATCAAAAATCTAGCCGACTCAGACACACCTGCTTTCATTCTATACACCAGTGGAACAACAGGTAAACCGAAGGGTATATCGCTCACACACCTCAATATCACGAACTCCATTCTAGGCATTCGAAAGTGTCTCAACCTGCACCAAGAGACAGTACTTCAACAAAGTTCATTAGGATTCGATTTGTCCGCTGCGCAAATTCTCATTGCTATAGCGGGTGGCGGAACTCTGATTATTCCCAAACGTGAGCTTAGAGGAGATGCAATTGAGCTCTCAAAGCTGATTCTGCTTGAACAAGTGACGTTGACCTTTTGTGTGCCGTCCGAATATTCCGTCCTGCTTCGCTTTGGAAATGCAATTCTGAAACAATGCTCGAACTGGAAGATAGCAATGAGTGCAGGTGAAAAGATGACAAGTAGAATTAAGAAGAATTTTCGCGATCTTGAGAGCTCTGTTCGACTTGTCAACGCATATGGACCTGCGGAAACGACCATTATCTCACACCTTGCCAACTCCTCTTATAAGTTAAGCGAAGTTACGGACGAAGGGGAAGAATTTGAGACAGTTGGAAGATCGCTACCAAATTTCTCGACCTACATACTAGATAAATCGGGAAATCAGCTCCCGCTAGGATTTCCCGGGGAAATATGCATTGGTGGCCCTAGCGTTAGCCCTGGCTATAGCCACAACGACGCCTTAAATCAGCAGAAGTTTGTACCTAATCCGTTTTCAAGTCGGCATGAAAAAGAGCTTGGATGGGACAGATTATATCGCTCTGGTGATCAAGGAAGATTACTAAAGGATGGCTCTTTAGTCCCACTTGGTCGAATCGATGGAGATCAGCAAATCAAACTCCGAGGGATGCGTGTAGAACTGGGAAGCATTGAAAGTAGCATTCTTACAACGGCACGCGGAGTAATTAGTGACGCAGTCGTGGTCGAAAGAGGACAACCTATCTTTCTAGTTGGGTTTGTCACCTTTGTAGAGGAAAAACGGCCTGCAGACCCTGACAACTTTCTCTACACGCTCATCGAGGACCTACCTGAGCCTGAGTACATGCGGCCAACGATAATTGTACCCCTTGAAAAAATTCCACAGGGGCCAAATGGGAAAACGGACAGGAATGCCCTAAAGAGAATCGTTGTGGATCGAAACCCTAAGACCAAGCCAACTGACAACGAGTCACTTACAGCAAATGAACTTAAACTTTCGCAGCTATGGCGGAGTTTACTCTTCGAGAACGAAGCCGCGCCACTAAATATTTACAAACATACAGATTTTTTCACCGTGGGGGGTACCTCCCTGCTTTTAGTGGAACTACAGCATCTGTTACAACAAGAAATTCGCGTCGAAATCCCACTCCAATCGCTGTTCCAGGCGAGCTCACTTCACAAAATGTCTAGATTCCTTGTACCAGATGCCGTAAAAGCTATCTCTCGGATCCAGATAGACTGGACCGAAGAAACTAGTATTTCTCATGATCTTTTAAATACTGAAAGGCTACTACCAGCCCCGAACAAGAATCAAGGAATCCGCGTTGCGCTCACAGGAGCTTCTGGATTTCTCGGAACATCATTACTTCGCCGCCTTATTGATCTCGACTCTGTATCTGAAATTTACTGCCTCGCAGTCCGTCATAAAGATGGATCTCCTTCCAGGGCTTTCCAGACACACTCAGAGAAAGTCAAGATATACTCTGGCGATTTGTCTATCCCCCTTCTCGGTCTCTCAGAAGACAGTTTCAACTATTTCTGTCATAACGTTGATGTGATAATACATAACGGCGCAGAGGTTTCATTTCTTAAAACCTACTCTGACTTGCGTGCGTCCAACGTTTCTTCAACAAAGAACCTCGTCAGGCTGAGTTTACTTCGTCGTGTACCCTTACATTTTATCTCCACTGCTGGTGTCGCGCAACTTGTCACCACAGACGTTCCTCTCACAGAATCGATGACAGCCTCTGCATTATCCAATCCAAGAGAGGATACAGATGGCTATGTATCTAGTAAGTGGGTGAGCGAAAGATATCTGGAGAACGCTACCAAGAAACTCGGATCAAAGGTCTTTGTACATCGTCCAAGTTACATCTTGGGGAATGAGACAATATCCACAGATGTCATTGGGTCTTTGTTAGAATACTCGAGAAAAATGTCCAAAGTTCCTTTGCTAAGAGGATGGAAAGGAGATTTCGATTTTGTGAGCATGAGAACTGTAGTGAACGATGTAGTTGGCGCGTGTCTTCAATCGGTGTCTGATTGGGAGCACGGTGATGAAGCGGGAAGATTGCAGGTTCAACACCTGTGTGGGGAAGTGAAGGTTCCTTTGAATCAACTGAAAGAGTATGTGAGTGGTGAGGATGGTCGTCACGTGGAAGAGGTAGAGCTTGAGGAGTGGATCCGAGAAGCTAATCTTGTGGGGCTTCCAAAAACAATGGGAATGTATTTGGAAAATTTGGTTACACAGGGTATGAGGATGCCAATAATTGAAAAGATTAAGGCAGCATAGATCATTTCTTGCGGATTGTAGGATTCCATCAAGGATATGCAATACTTGGAGGGGTATCGCTGAATTTCAGATTAATGTTTTAGTTTATATCGATCATTTCTACCACTTCGGGAGTATTTTGTTTCGTTAGCTGTTGAAATATGACCTCGATGTGTCGTTGTTAGCTACACTACCTTGTTCTCATAATTGGCTAAAGTGGTGTTTTCTCTCAATCACCACAAACAATAAGCAAAGTATATGGCAATTATTAAAGGACGACCAAAATTTAGTTACAGGTTTTGGGATCACAGACTGATACCAACTAACAATTATATATGTTCAATGATTGTTCTGGTTGCTCATGGATTTTACTATGTAAGGTTGTAGCTATAGCCGTTGAGGTTATCCTCAACGGCCGCTGGCGTGAAGCTAGATACTAGACACTGACAATGGCGTAACATATTACTTGCCATCCGGACTACATCACATTAAATAGACTACGAACAAGTCTATTTTTCTCCAGGACTTCGCTTCCGCTCCAGCTACACCAAACTTCTGATATGACCGTCCAAGGTGATCATCTGAAACATATGTATCCACCCACCATAAGGAACCTCAATTCAGACGACAATTCCGAACCTACCCCACGATATCCGCACCTAAACCACCTCAACCAGGAAGTTAGGACAGGCACGTCTCTCCATAACTCTCTTTATGACATGTATATCCCGACGTTTTAGCTGCCGCTCCTCCCACACACACCTTCCTTTCAACCCTCACAATATTCACAATGCCTTAAGCGCACCCACAACAAAAAAGACCAAAGCTGGGATATCTGTCGTAAATGTCCTAATCGTATGCATCCTCAACCAAACCCCCATCGAATGTGTACTATTTCCTTTGGGAATATCTGCTTTGATCTCTGCCAACAACTTCAGTGCTCTCTTGGCATAGATTGCAATATGTCCCATACTAAACAGAAGTCCCATCCAGTACCATTTCTCAGCACCAGTCACTTTGAGTTGAGAGCGAGCGACGAGAAGGTTGAGAATACCTAGAGCATAGTTGCCAGGATATCCTAGAAGAATAACCCAGCGACCCCGTCGACCCCAGAGCTGGAACCAATTGGGAAGGTGGACATTTGCGCGGTCGCGAAATGTAGGAGCCATCCATGTGCCAAGAAATATATGCTCATCAACTGCGAACATGAACACAATGGTTGAAGTGATCACGGGAAGGAGGCGGAGGACGCGAATAGATGCATCGGCGAAAGACATAGTTATTAGATTGATGTTAGACGTGAATTTGTGTACTTGCGAGTCTGTCACTTCGGAAATTCTTGTTAAGAATGGGCTTTGAGAGTTTTTGGAGTTGTGGTTGCCCAGTTTTCTTTTTGAGATCTATAAGTTTAGGTAGGTTACTTTTGGTTGGTCATAAAAGCGCTGTGTTACATTGTACAGTATCGTATGACAGTCGGACTGTCAAATTGATCCGAGCCCGGTACCGATTAGACAGTAAGACTTCAAACCGTAGTCCATTGGCTCCCATTAATGCTTACGTGTTATTATTGTTACACATATCATTCTATGTTCTAAAAGCAATCTGAAAATTGCTTTCTAACATTTCTGACTAGTAGCATGCTAGCAGTGCGCCGAGAGAAAATAAATTGTTGACAGGGCTACTAAGTTTTTCGGTTCAAGAGCCTAGTAGCCGAAAGTTCCGACTTAGTGGCGTACTGTCATCAACTCTTGCGGCGTTGTTCTCCGAATATTCGGCTTGCAAAACGCTGGCCGATTAGCATGCTCGGTGAGTAATGTAACCTCTAGAATCTATAATAGGTAAGAAACGACCTTAGAGCCACACACACTATTTCAATTATCACAATATGGCCTCACCAAAGTCGCCCTCATTGATAATACTCCTGAAAGGGGGAACGCTATTGGTTCCCAAGGGCGAATCTAACGCCAAAATCGTTTCAGTAAAAAAAGACCTTTTGATTGTGGACGATCACATTGCAAGCATCGGAAACATAGATGCTCCGACGGATAAAACAATGACAGTTATAGATTGCTCGCACAAGATCATTTCCCCAGGATTCATCGATACTCACCATCATCTTTGGCAAACGCAACTTAAAGGGAGGCACGGAGACCACACCGTACTCGGCTACATGCCTACTGGTAATCTCACCGCATCATTTTTTACCCCTGGCGACATTTTCTGGGGTCAACTAGGTGGAGCAATGGAGGCTCTTGACAGCGGCACGACGACTGTTGTTGATCATGCCCATATGAACTATTCCAAGCAGCACTGTAAGCTTATCAGGCTATAATTATTTGCATGCGCTAATGATTTGTGTGACTTGAACAGCCAACCATGCTCTCGCTGCTACTTTGACAGCAGGAATTCGTTCTGTATTTTGTTATACTCCAACAACTTGCGTAAAGAGTTGGCAACCCCGCCTCGAACTTACATTCGACTTAGTTCAGAACTGGCACTTTGAGCAAATCTCCCACTTCGCCACCCTGCTAGCTAAATACCCTAGTGTTTCGCTTGGCTTTGGCTTTGATGGGTACAACTTTCTCGGCCCAGATGCCACAAGGTCTCTCTTTGCACGAATCCGCGCCGCAAACGTGCGCCCAATCACGTCGCATTATTTTCGGAATCCACTTTTGTCTTCAGGAACAAGTGTAGTTGAAACCATGGCCGAGTTGGGAATTTTGTCTGAAGACGTAATAATTTCTCACGCCACCGGTCTAACCTCAGAGGAGAAGCAACTGATGGCGAATCATGGTGCATTCATTTCATGCACACCCAGTTCCGAGATGCATCAAGGCCTTGGGCAGCCTGCATTGCCAACCCCTGCTGAGGGCGACGACAAAAGTAGCGATACTACCCACCTTAGTCTAGGATGTGATTCGCATAGCGTAGTAAGAGGTAGTATGATTGAACAGATGAGATTGGCCCTTAGTGTAGGCCGCATGCAACGTACGCAGTTTCTTCTGGAGAAAAATAAGTTCCCAAGAACGCCAAATCCTACTGTTGAAGAAGTGTTCAAGCTGGCTACCATACATGGCGCGCAAGCGATTGGACGAGAGAGTGACCTTGGCATGTTGAAAGTCGGTTATAAAGCAGATATTGTTGTTTGGGATTCTCTGAGTCCCAATATGGTGTGTGCAGGTGTGGAGAATCCTTTGACTGCAATTGTATGCCATGCTGACACGAGGGATATCAATTGTGTGATTGTGAATGGAACAATCAGAAAATTGGATGGTCAGCTAGTTGACTGCAGAATTCAAGGTTATGATGATCGATTATTGAGTGAGCAGGAACTTCCGAAAAACAATGACCTTCGTTGGATTGATGTCGCCAAGGCTTTGGAGCAAAGTCGCACTCAAATACAAGATAGGATATGCCAAACTCATGCTGACGGCAAAGATGAACATGGAGGTGGGAGGGATGATGTCGAGGCTCTGATTGATGCTTTTGGTCTGAACACCGATGCGCTAGTTGACTGATAAGAATTAAGAAGCTTCAAAATCATTTTCCCGCAACACAAATTGCCTATGCGACTTTGTGATACATTTGCTTTGAGCTTTATAATACTGATATGACACGACGAAGTAATAATCTTACCATAGAAATCCTGACCCCAAATAAAACAAGATAACTGCTGACACAAATATCAGGCCAGTTTATTAATCCTTTCACGCACACGCATTTATTGTTTTATCCATCTACAACCATGATGAGAACCGTATGTGATCGGTGCCATGGCCAAAAGCTAAGATGTGATCGTGATGACGAAGCGTTTGGCGGTTGCAAAAGATGCAGAAAGGCTGGTGCAGTTTGCACTCTACCTGGCCGAGGGGGAAATAATTCTGCATCAAGAATGGCATCTAATTGGGGAATGGGAGAAAACATTGATACAATCAGATCTAACGATAATGAAGAAAATGGCGTCGATGAACAACCGCCAAACAAGACGAGAAGGACGTTGTCTCCACAGGCTTCTACAAATTCGTACATTCCTATTCCGCAGCGACCGATGATAGAGAGTCGAAATAAACGAAAAGCTTCCAATTCCTTTTCCGGTCTGAATACTGAGGATCTGAATCAGTTCGCAAGCAGTTCATCGGACGTGCAAGACGCCTCGAAACTCCTCGGACCAGAATTCTATGATGATTGTCCTCCTTCAGGTTCAGTTTTCAACTTCATGAGTCCGCATTACATGGAAGAACTAAATTTCGAGGAAAGTTCCGCGACAACCCTGTCACATATACATGAAGAGCATGGTGAAAAGGCATGGCCTTCGTCGTCCTTCGCTGGACAAATCATAACCCCTTCAACTTCCAATCTGTCATACGACGAACGACAAAACAACCATCGACGGGGCCAGCAATCGCAGCAATGGTCGATTAGTTCCAGAGATGGTAGTTTTACTCCTGATGCAGCCGCTAGAAATGAAGAAAGAGCGAGAGAGGCGCCTTCACCCTCCCCAGGTACAGCTTGGTCTTCCCATAATTCCACGAGCAGGCATTGTCACACCATGATGGGCGGGAGAGCGGTTTCGGAAAACAAGGACACCAAGGCCACTGGGTTGGGGAATAGTACAAGGTTGTTTCATATGTATACCTCGCTGGATGACTTTATGTCTACAACAATCCCATCAATGACCGACGCATTTCAGTACACTATAGAGCTTATAGACATTGTCCACGACTCAGTTAGCCTACAGAAAGATAAATTCGGCAATCAACCACATAATAAGTTGGTTTCCCCTGATCCGTTAAATCAAACCCGCCAAAAGACCAGTGGTAATATATCCGGTGGCCATAGCAATGATGTATTGATGAATAATGACAGGGGGCTTGGCGACACATCGGTTGAAAGAGAGAAGAGTGATGTAGAACTAGGAGACGCAAGTATCATTTTTCTCATCCTGGGGTGTGCCTTCCGTATTCTGCGCTTGTACCAACGGCTCATCGAAGACGTAGCGGAGAAACTTGAAAGCGCTACTCGCCATATCGCCCGTCCTAAATTCAGTCATGCTGATATGAGTAGAGAGCTTGGAGGGAAGAAGATGGAGGGTTCAGCGATGGAATGGGTACAAATTGTTAGCTCAGTTGTACATCTTGCCGCGAAGATGGACAGTACAATTAAGTTGTTCGCGCATTACAGTAATGAGAATGGACAGATAAGGCCTAGGAAAGGCACTTTCCATGATAGTCTCGAGCCCTCGGCTATTCCAAGCAGTAAAGATGACGAAGGGAAAGGGAGCTTAGAGGAAGTGGTTGCAATTCCTGTGAAAGAGATTCTGACAATGCAGGGGACATTGAAGAATACTGCCGATAATGTCATGAATAGGATAAGAACAAGTGAATTGGTGTAGAACTAGTGGATCTTCGAGATGAATAAGTTTAATACAAAGATCAAGCTTACCTGCACGATTTCGAAACTTTATAGGTGGTCTCAGAAATTATATGACCACAAAGTTCTCATTGGATTTCTGTCATCTTCAAACTTTCCTGTTGGTTCTCAATACCGAGTAACCGAGGCCGGGAAATAGCCGCCTTAATTTAGTCTTTTCTTAGCATTCGGCGGAACTTTGGGAGTCGTTTGTTGTGGTGGTAAGAACTGTCACAAAAGATTCAATTCTACCTTGGAATCTAAAGCTAAAGAGAGAAGAGAAGAACGAAAGAGGAATGGAGAGCGATGGCCTAAATACACAGATAAGATCACGTGATATGCATGGTGTCTTGAGCAGGTGACGAGATGACCAGGTAAGAGGTCTGAATTGTCACATATGGTCTAGCGACCGGGGGTGCTTATATGGATAGCCTTGCAAACGTGTTTCTAGGATAATCAGCCTCCCTTCACCCCCTGCAACAAGAACCCCCTTTCGCCGTGCCCCCAGTCACCTCCACATCTCAACACCCAAGCATTTTACATGAACCATCATTTGTTTATGGATTAAAAGGAAGAAAAGCGCATCATGCAATGATCAAATGGTCGAATTTAAGATATGATTGGGCACGGAACTCTAGTTCCCTCGCCTCTTTCCTCCTTCCCCTCATCGAAAGTAAATTGAATCCAAGTTACTGTCCCGCCGTACAGTGCAATCTACTGCGCGCTCTTCACTTCATCGGTGATCCTATTTACATTCTCATTCTTCTCCATCAAAGCCTTAGCAGCATTGATCTCCTTTAGATTGTGCCATTTATTTCCAAAAGAAACGAGAAACATCATGGCTGCCATTGCAATTCCGATTACATAAGCTTTCTTCAACCCATCCATGTAGGATCTCAAAATTCCCGGTAGCTGTTCAGCTGTGAAATGTTTCCGAAGCTCCGTAGCACCGACTGAGACAACTTGCATTGGTGGTATAGAAGGGGTGTTGACAGCCAGAGATTTGATGAGTGTGTTTGCAAAAGCGGATTGGGCAGCAGAAATGGAAAGTGAACCTCCCAGTGTCTGAGCAAAGAGAATCATAGCTGTTGCAGAGGAGATGTCTTCAGGACCCATCAGAGCTTGTGCAGCGATTGTGGGGACTTGGATGCCGAATCCATAACCTAGACCGGCGAGGGCCTGGTACCCAATCCACTTGGAACTTCCGGTACCAATATCAAGGGTATAAAGAAGGGCGGCTCCGGCAAGACTCAGGGCGCCGCAAAGAATCATGAATAATATATGCTGGCCTATAGCAGAGATAACGCCTCCCGAAATGATCGTACCAATGGTTATTCCAACAACGAGAGGAATGGTCCGGATGCCAGAGTTCCCGGCTGAGACATTATCAATTGTCTGAAAGTAGATCGGGATGTAGTACACGAAAATCCAAGAGGAAGAGGCTAGAAAAAATATAAAAGCCATGCCGCCATAGATAGTACGGTCTTTCAATAATCGGTTTACCAACATGGCACTTTCCTTGAGCCAAATCTGGATACCTATGAAGACTAAAAAGAGGACGATAGAGCCTACAAGTAAGCCAATAGTTCTGGCTGAGTTCCATGGAGACGATATTCCGGCTTTCTCTAGAGCGAGAAGGTAGCATATAACGGAGCACATGATTGTGAAAATACCGAGTATATCCATATTGATAAGCTTTTCGCGGAATGTAGCTTTTGTCGGCTTTGCTGCCTGCGGAGGTTTGAAGAAAAGCGTAATGACGACTGCGGAAACTCCACCTATGGGGAGGTTGATATAAAAGCCTGATTCTTCGTCAGCGCTCAAGGTATTGATGCATTGCGAGACAAATTACTTACACCATCGCCATGAGACATGCGTCGTAAATTGACCTCCAACTAATGGACCTACAACACTTGCCACACCCCACGCAGCTCCTGCAAACCCAGTGTATGCGGCTCTTTTTTCAGGAACGGCGGTAAAGGCAACAAGGGTGAACGAGCCAGAAAGAATTCCTCCTCCACCCAGACCGGCAATGGCACGCCCCACTATCAAGGTTGTGCTATTTTGGGCAACGGCTGTTGTCCATAGATGATCAGTAAAAGTTTGATAGTCTCAATAAGTTTGTGGAAGAATATTTTGTACGAATATTGCCAGGATCTTTTCGGGAAAAATCGCACATACCACATATCAAACTTCCAAGCTCAAAAATGATAATGGAAGTAAGGTACGTCCACTTCAACGAAAAGTATTTGTAGGCCTTTCCCCAAGCCGATTGGAAGCATGCCAGAGTAAGGAAAAACGAACTCCCAATCCAGCCTATGGATTCGATGCCGTGGAATTCGTCTGTGATTTTTGGGATTGCCGTTGATACAATGGTCTAACAACACCTGTCAGCTTGTAAGCCCACAATAATACTAGGAGAATCCTAGTTTGATGAACTGATTCGGGCTCCAAGGAAGTGTCTAAAAGGCGTATTTAAGATACATACCATATCCAGCGAAGTCAGAAATATGGCAAGACATAGCGCTGTAATGATCAAGAGGAGTTTGATACCTGTCGGATACTCATCTCTTCGGACTGTGTCTTCTGCGACGAAGCTCGACATACTATTGTCATTTCCTGAAACCGTAGTTGTTGTTGTCGGTTTGGCTCCCAGTCCTCCGTTCACGGGAATGTCAAGTGAACCTTCCATAGTAGAGACAGGCGCAGAAATTCAACAGTCGCAGTTGTTTTGCTTAGTGGCTAGATATGGATTATTGTAGCGTGGATTCAAAAGCCTTCAGGTTGAATAGAAAGAGCTGTTAGATACGCGCTGCCGAGAGTTCAGTGACAAGTAAAGTTACTGTTGGTATTCCCTCGATGTTGACTATGACGTCTTTATAATAGGTTCAATGTATTGATTGATACTGTGTCTATCCTATTCTAGGCTCAGAGCTACGAGAGTCATATGCAATACGCTCGTGGGTTAGTGTACTAGTGTGTTCACTTGTGGAAATTCACTCTTATACCAACAGTTTCGTACCTAGGTAGTTACGGGGCAAGAAATTCGTTTGTCCGGTTTCACAATTGAGATCTGTAATAAAATCGGGTGTTTGTTTGTCCACGTCTGCAAATGCGGAGCAACTATTTGCCCGGTTGGTTGGTTTGTTGTTGGTTGGGATGTCTTATTGCCTTTAGCAAGGTCCGAAGATTCGGAGGTGTAGGTTACACAATCATGTTGTGAACCCTCCAATTCAAGACTAGGATTGATTTGCGAATACATAGGTTGCAGACATCACTAAACTGGATAAGATAACGGCAAGTAGGTGGAAAAAGACCAATCACAATTAATTTCATTGAAAAAGTTGGACCTCAGTTACTTGCAACTTGTTGTCCCTTCAAGATATGGCTATCACAATAGACGACATCTCGCAGACCCCTACGACACAATGTGCTCTTGTTATCAAAGCTCCTGGTCAATATGTTTTCTCCTCTTCTGCAACAGTTCCGGAGCTCACTCCCACGACCGTTTTGATAAAAGTCTATGCCGTTGCCATCAATCCGGTGGATGCTAAATGGGTAGATCTTCACGGTTCTTCTCTCGATGGCTGTATTGGGGGCTATGATTTCGCGGGATCAGTATTCTCAATCGGATCCGAGGTTGATACCCAAACGCATAGGCTCAAACTCGGCTGCCGTGTCGCTGGAGTGGTGCTTGGTGGAAATCCTCTTCGACCGGATGTAGGCGCTTTCTGCCAATACGTGCTTGCAGACCCCAGGTTTCTGTTGAGAATTCCGGACGTGATGAGTTTTGAGAAAGCAGCATCTTTGGGCGTTGCAGTCGCAACAGTGGGTATGGCATTGTACCAGTCTTTGGGAATAGATATGCCGAGCGTGCCTGTGAAAGAAACTGGGACGGAGACACTGCCTAAAGAATGGGCGCTTGTTCTTGGTGGGAGCACCGCTTGTGGGACTATGGCGATACAAATGCTCAAACTGTAAGTACATAATACTAATTCATTCACAATACTTCATTTGCTATTCCTGTCTTTGTCTCTTTTGAATATTTCCCAAATTTAACCGTGATCAAATGACAGCTCTGGCTACAAAGTTATCACTACGGCTTCGCCAAGCAATTTTGCGCTGGTGCACTCGTACGGTGCAGACTTTGTCATCGATTACCACTCTCCCACATATGTCGCTGAAATAAGAGACCGCACTACCAATTCTCTTTGCGTAGTGTTGGATTGTGTTTCCGACAACAGTAGCATGAAAACGTGCTACGAAGCCATTGGCGTAAATGGTGGTAGGTACACTGCACTCAATCCCTTTCCCATGAAACTACATACACGCGACGATGTGAAACCTCACTGGATATTCATCCTGACCATGTTTGGTCAGCCGATCACCATCAAGGGGCCCTTCAAGAGGTCGAAACCTCGGCTAAAAGACGTAGAATTCGAGACGAAATGGTTTGAGAGAGTACAGGTGTTGCTTGATCAAGATAGAATTCAAACACATCCTGTGGAAATAAATAACGGAGGGCTTGCGGCTCTTACAGAAGGAATTAATGAGGTCAGACTGGGAAAAGTACCTGGGAGAAAGCTCGTGTACATAGTTTAAACCGGAGGGTCGATCTGGGTAATAGTACTTTTATTCCATGGCTTATCAATGAATTCTTCAATGTCATTTAGCCTATTTGTCTAGACAAGGAATTCACACAATCCCACGTCCCCAAGGTTCAAAATGACTAATTGCTATAGAAAAGAGAGTAGTTTTCGAAGTTTTGTCTTAACAATCCTCTTTTGGCGAGGATCTTGTTACATAGCATAGTAACTGAATGCTGCTGAAATTCCATCAACATTCTCCAACTCTGGCGTATACAACTCCTGCTGCTTCAAGTGTAGGATTCGCATGTACAAGTCAGAGCCTCACAGTAAGATCCGCAACGCCTTAATCCCACGTCCGAAATTTCGGCAACCCCTTGATTCTGTGTCTATATCGGGAATGAGGAGTACAACGTCCTGGCACAAGCTAGCGAATCCTCGAAGTAAGCTGAACAAGAAAGGCAGATAGTGTTTGTTTCCCATATTTTGTTAATATAAGATGGAAATCTGCTGGTACTAACCTACTTGCCTAAAAACAGGTCCGTGACGGCAATCTAAATTGAATTTTTTATTATTTAGTTTGCGATACTCATACACGACTGTCCAAATATGAGTTCTCAGGGTCTGAGCAGCTACCCTCCCGATGATAGTATTGGGTACAAAGTCATAGTAACTCTTTCCATTACCTTTGGTTTGGCGATTATCACTTTATCCATGAGGATGTATAGTCGGATCCGAATTGTTAAACATGTTGGCTGGGATGATTGGGCTATTATCCTTGCTACGGTAAGTGATTCGATTCTTACCTGCTATCATTATTCTCACAGAATATAGTTGGCCGGCCTCGTCAATTTGATATTCAATTCCTTGAACATTCACTATGGTGGCGGCCGGCATCAGAAGTACCTGGATAAGGAACAGATCATCCAAACCGTCAAATACTCTAACCTTGCCATGCTCCCTTTCATCTTCTGCACATGTCTCACCAAATTCTCGGTCGCCTTTATGGTGCTGCGAATCACGACCGAAAAGTGGGTGAAATACTGGATGCTTGCGTTGGTGTTATCACTGTTCCTGATCAACGGAGCCGGTGTTGTGATCATTTTGGGATTTTGCAAGCCTGCCAGTGCATATTGGGACATCACGATTCACAACGCAAAGTGTTGGGATACGGAGGTGCTAACCGTAGCATCAAACATTCAAGGGGGTATGTTGTAAATTTTCTTATCTGTATGAAATTGATGAACTTTCAACTTGCTTTGCTAATCTTTACGGGGAAGCTTGGTCTATCTTTACGGATTTGATATGTACCTCGATTCCCATCGTTTTGGTGTGGAAACTGCACATGGCTGTCAACCATAAGGTGACTATCACAATCCTTATTGGATTCGGGTTGATGTAATACATGATTCCCCTCTTTCCTTTAAGCTGCAATGTGCTGACAAAATTGTGCTCTAGAACCACAGCTTGCTCAGTCGGCCGAGTGGTAGTCTACAGCAATGAAGAATTTGGCGGAGATAGCAGCTGTAAGTTATCGTGCTCTTTCGCGAAACATGCTAATAACAACGACTAGGGAACAACATTAACACAATCGTGTGGACGCTCCTAGAAGAGAACATCGGCCTTACTGCCACCAATCTACCTGCGTTAGGAAGCTACCGCAAGATATTTCAAGAAAAGCTCAAAACGTCATCTAGCATTCGTTACCTCATTCGAATCACCACCAGCGGCTTCAAGAGTGTCAACAAGGGCTACTATCCTTCGAAGAGATCAGGAAAGAACCAAAGCTCTGACTCACAGGTAGAGATGGCGAACGTGGATGATGGCCGCAAGAAATCCGGCCCTCAGATGAGTCCCAGGGATGGAGATAGGAGTCTAAACAAAGACTTTATAAACTTTAATACAGTGAATATAGACGGGAGTGTCCGCGAAGCTTACTAGGTACTCCTCTCCTGTTGTATTTCCACCACCCATTTTGTATGATAGGTTTGCGAGATCAGCGTGTTCAACTTGGCTCGGAGATGGAGCTTTTTTTTGGTCGGGGGATCCTCGCGAGAGATAGTTTGAAAATTTGAAAATCTGAAGAAGTCAATAAGAACAGACAGACGTTTATGTTGATGTTAAAAGTCCGAAGCTAAGGGGAAAAGAAGAAAGACACAACTCCAATCCCATCCTCCACGCTTTAGAGCCTCATCATCACCCACAAGACTCTATCCATCTAGGTACTTGCCACACATTGAATGCTATTGAAATTCTTCTCTTCTCTTCTCTTCTCTCACATCGCATAATGATCTTGTAGTCGGATGTGTACACAATCTCATGTATTTCTAATAAGTTATAGATATATAATTCCCTCCTCATTCTATTCAGACATCCAGATATACATAAATATACATCTGCAAATCCCTCCACTAGTACCTGATCCCCAGAAGGACATTAAGGTAACTAGTTACTCATAAAGATTTCCATCCATCCACATCCAAATCATACATTAAAAATCCAATCCCTCATCAACATTAGCATGAAAATACTTTTCGTCTCTCTTCTCCCTTCTCATCTAAATGTAAATAAATCATCCATCCTCTAAATAAAAAGATTCCACCCCGTGATCTTTAAGCCGCTATAAATATAACCCAAATTTTGTGCAAGAAATGAATGAGCTTTGGTATCTAATGGCCATCAATGACAGCCAAGTACATTATGTATGTACTATGTGCAAAATTTTGTGGTATCGAAAAAAAAAGTGATGCTACGCGATGCAAATCAATGCAATGTTTAACGACGATTGAAGTTGAAGTATCTCGACTATTTTTATTGTCAGTAAATATTTTTGAGTGGGGTGAGGTGACAAGGGGATAACTTACAGCCAAGAAAAGAATAATCAAATTGCTTCCGATGAAAGCCAAAAAGATACCCAAATCTCTCCATCTATTGCTAAAGTCCAAGGCGAGTGGCTCGTAGAATTGTTCTCCATATTTATAGGCACAGTATTCACAAGCACTTGTCGCATTGTTGACAATATATCCGATACCTCCGCTTGAAAAGTAATTTTCCATGTACTTCCCGCATGTTTGACCTGCAGGAGCGGTAAAGCGACTTAATTCTGAAGAAGTACATTTGACTTCTCGACCTTGAAGTTCAGTGACGACCATTCCACCGATGAGACGAGTGAAAGGATCGAGTTGGTAGAGCCATGCACGCCAGAACTTGGGAATTTGAGGCTTTGGAATGGTGACACCGCAGAAGAGAGCAAAGGTAATGATAATGAAGGGGTTGACAAGGGCGGAGATAAATGGGGATGGAGTGAGAGCTGCGACCATTTGACCGAGAGTTACGGAAAAGAGTTCTGTGATGAGAATCATGAAGAATTGGTAACCGGCACGACTAGACGATGTCTGGAAACCAGGCATATAGTAAAGCGGAAGGAAGAAACCAACAGCGCAAAGGATGGAGTAAGGCATCTCAGCTACGACCAAAGATGATGCGAAGGCAAATTGACTGTACATCTTCGAAGAAGCTTCTCGGTAGTAGATCATACGAGATAACGCGTATTTAGGTTCGACTTGAGCGAGAATAAGTGCAGGAAGAACGGTAACCTGGAAGATGACGAATACACGATATTGCAATGAAGCCTTTGAATCGTCGAGATTCAAGTAGGCAAGACCAGTGATAATGGCGATGATAACGTGATTGAAGAGACGAGTGAAACCGTAGTTGGGGGATCTCCAGAAGGCCAAGTTGGTACGTGCTTGAACGACTCTCAATTGATGCATCAATGGCGTGGCAAATTCTCTCTCGTCATCGTGAGTAGTTTCGCCAACCTCGGCGAGACGTTGTGTCTTCATTTGAGAAATACGATCCTTGATGTTGGCAAGTTCAGGCGAGTCAGCAAAAATATCAGCCCAGTCACGATCTCCAATTCTGGCGGCTTGACCGGCACCAACAGCGTCAAGCATCCATTCGGCAGGGTTAGCATCAGAAGGACAATCAGCTCCGTGTCTGTGAAAGTAATCGAGGAGAACGTGAGCATCTTTTCCAATGTCACCAAAATAAACACATCTTCCTCCGCGTTGAAGAAGAAGCAATCGATCGAAGTTCTCAAATAATGCTGCGTTAGGTTGATGGATAGTACAGAGAATAGCTTGTCCAGCATTTGCTAGTTTCTTCAAGAAACGAACGATGTTGAAAGCACTTTGAGAGTCAAGACCCGAAGTAGGTTCATCCAAGAAAAGTAACAATTCAGGCTTGGCAGCCAATTCGACTCCGATAGTGACACGCTTGCGTTGTTCGACAGCAAGACCATTTTCAGGATCTCCAATAATTGCATCGGCCATATCTTCCATCTCAAGGAGACTAAGAATTTCCTCAACGTAGGCGTATTTTTCGGCTTGTGGAACGTGGAATGGTTGACGGAGATCAGCAGAAAATCGAAGTGCTTCACGGACAGTCGCAGTGCCCTCGTGGACATCAAGTTGTTCGGCGTATGAAGTTCCTCTTTGGAAAGAGTTACCTGGCTTAATACCATCGACAAGGACATCACCAGAAATAACGCCAATGTTCTTTCTTGAAGCCAAGACATCCAAGAGGGTTGTTTTTCCAGCACCTGAGGCACCCATAAGTGCAGTCAATTCACCTGGTCGAACGTAACCGTAAATGTTGTTCAAAAGACGTAATTCTCCAGCTGGAGTTGGGACATCATAATTCAATCCTTCCCAAGTCAAGACAGCCTTTGAGCTGATGTTGATTTCCGAGCCTTCTCCATCACTCTTTGTGGCACGACGTTGGTCGCGCTTGACAGCCAATGCATTGTTGAGCTCCTCGCGTTCCTTGTTTGGCTTCTGATAAACTTTCGCAGCGTTTCCACCGGCACCGAAAGACACCCACTCACCGAGGGTTGCGTTTGTGAACAGAAAGGCGGCGATCAAAACAATGATGATACCGAAGTTTCTCCATAGATCAGAAGGCTTGTAGTCGAATCCTTGAGTGATGTAGTCGCCACCAGAAACGATGTCTGATCCAGCAACACTGCCGGGTAGGGTACAAACTTGGTGCTCGAGGTTATCGTAACCTGGGCCATATGGCACAAGATAGGCACCAGTACAGGTCAAATTAAGACGGCTAAACTCGTTCTCCATCAAAGCGGAAAATCCAAGACCAAGAGCATTAATCCAGTAAATCCATCTGATCCAGACCTTTTCACTTTGATATTGAATGAGATAACCGGATGTGATGACGAAAAAGGTAATGATCGTAGCGGCAAACTTAATCGCGTAATCAAAATCAGGGCAGAGACATCCAACTGTTCTGAAAAAGAGTGTCATGGCCAAGTAACCAGTGAGAATGATAATGTAGAATGTGAAGAATGCACCAGCGTCTCTTACCAATCCGCACATGAAGTACACGATGATGGAAAATATCAAAATCTGAGCGGCAGCGAAAGCAGTATCGACGATGATCTGAGCAATCCAGAGTGCGGATGGACGATGAAACGTGTATGACCTGTGCTTGTTCACAATAGGTCTGCCCATCATAGTAGATGCCAATTCCGAAAATGCTTGGAAAGCATTGAACAATAACGAAATGAAGAGTAAACCACCTCTGGTGAATGCACCAGCAGAAGTCTTAGGCAAATTAAGCCACACGGTACCCAATACAATAGCGACAGTAATACTAGTAATCCAACTGACAACCAAAGAGAATTTATCTTGCCACTTGATCAGATATTGTCTTTGCATCAAAGCCCAGATCTGCAAGTAGTAAGGAATAGAATACACAGAAGATTTTGAAGCACCCTTGCGTTTGCTATCAGCTATCGCAACCTCGAAATCGTCATGAATTTGCTTGTCTGTGACAACTTGTCTTTTGTAAGCGTCCATTTCCTCGCTCAAGCGAGTCGAGAACTTGGATTCCAAGAAAGCTTGGGCCAATGTCTCAGGACTGTGTGGAGAATCTGCAGCAGAGCGACCAGTTGCATACTCGCGCTCGAACTCATCAGTGCAACCTGTTAAGAAATCAGGTGTAGTTTGACGGGGCTTCTCCTTGAAGCCAAGACCTTCGAAATAGGCTCTAGCTTCAGAAATTGGCCCAAAGTAGACTTCTCTTCCGTCATCAATAACCAAGACTTTGTCGAATTGCTTGTAGATATTCTCACTTGCTTGGTACAATGAAACAAAAGTTGTAGTCTTGTAGATGTTGGTCATAACACGAAGAGATTTCGCATAATCGAGGGCAGTTGAAGCGTCAAGTCCTCTTGTACTGTTATCCCAAGCGCATACACTACCACTTGTGATCATCATTTCTGCAATGGACACGCGCTTTCTCTCTCCTCCAGAAACACCTCTAACGAAGGCATTTCCCACAATAGTATTGCGGGTATGGCTGATGTTAAACATTCGAAGAAGTGTATCGATTACTTTTTCCTTGAAGTCGGCCTTCGACATTCCATGTGGGCGCTTTCCTGGGGTTTTGGTGTCAAGGGCGAAACCTAAGGTTTGGCCTACAGTGAGAGTTGGGTGATGAATATCGTCCTCTTGATTATAGACAGCTTCTCCCCTGTATTTCTTCGAGAATTCTTGAGCGGTGAAAGGGCCATAAAGTATCTCACTAAATGAAACTGTGAGTAAGTGTCTAATTGTTTTTCACAAGGGAAACAAATTGCATATCGCAGTGGAATGCAATATGCGAAGCTTGGGAAATCAGGAAAAGGTCAGTCTTACCCATCAACACCATTGTATCCAAATCTTTGGTTTGCAATAACCTTCAAGAAAGTTGTGCAACCAGATCCAGGTCTTCCAAGCACAAGAACCATCTCTCCAGGTTTCACCACACCCCTGAAGTCCTGCAAAATCTTTACTTCTCTGCCTTTCTTGCCTACACCAAAGATGTTCATTGCAGTCTCGACGACATTGAAGAAACTAACAAATGCATCTGGGAATGTCTTG